GGTATTTTTCCTTAATATTCCTACATTACTACTGTAATTTATGTGTTATCTGATGATCTGCTTAAGAAAGACACCTCCTATATCAAAAGCAAAAAGGAAGGGAAGACAAAGTAAGATTCTGAATATGTTTATAAATCACTCCTGAAAGTACTCATATGGTATATACAATATACAATTATTTTATCTACAGGTAGAGATCTAGAGAAAGAGATGCCTGGTGCTGGAGATGCAAAGATAAAGCAAGCCCCTCTGAGGATACAGTCGTAGTATGGGAGATCACAGATAAGCTAACAAACAATAAACTAACAACAGGCTAATAGTTTTCATAAGTGCTGTAACTAATAGTCTAGAGGTACATCTTCAGCTCAATAACAAAAGTGCAAATCTTGGTTTCAATGAAATTTAATTTTTCAAGGGAATAAAAAGAATTGAGAGCCAATCTAAGCATAAACATTGTTGTATGAGACTGGAACCTTAAATAGCCTGAACATTTCTAGACTTGATGAGCATTAATTATTTATAAACAAGAGGTGCAGTAACCTACAAAATAATATAGATGAGAGGATGACTCAGCCATTGGTTGCTTAATTCAACAAACATTAATTGAGCATGTTCCATGTGCCAGGCATTGTTAACAGGAGCCAGAGAAACAAATGTTAATAAAATATACTTTTGGTGTTCACAGTTAATTGCTGTCTAGTATGGGAAGCCAGCATAAGAACAGACAATAAATCATAGTGCAATTAGCACAATTAAAAAGGGGGTTGTCCCATATAATCAGCTCCTTAAAGGGTACATAGCACTTCAAGGAATGCAAGTGGTGGGAGCTAGAATAGGAGTTTCACAGGAGGAGAAAGGCAGAAAGGCATTCCAAGCTAAGAGAACCACCTCTTCAAGGGCATGTATGAGCAAGGCATGTTCGAGCAACTACAGGAAGGTACTGCTGCTAGACTGTGGAGTGTCAGAAGGCAGTCAATGGAAATGAAGTTTCTTCCACATAGGCAAAGAACCTTTTATACTGTATGGAGGTAGGGCTTTACGCTTTATTCCACAGACAATGAGGATACAAACACCGTATAAGGTTTGAGCGAGGGAGTAACAGTGTGGAAATTAATTGAAAGGGAAAGGTGTGTAGAGACCTAGAAAACAACTTGGGTTGTGAGCTTTGATATCACACTTGGCCACCAGCACACCCTGTGACCCAGGCCATTCTGATATTAGGAAAACCAACATGTAATATTTTTATCTTGCAAAGCTGATAAGGCAGAGAATGAACAAGTTGTGTATGTATGAACAGTAGTTTCACAGTTAGGAAGCTGTGAAGTGTCTCTCATGAGTCCTACAGTATCCTGTGCCTGATTCACCCTCGGGCTTATCAGCATCGTTAGATCAGCCTATGAAGAGGTGTGGTGGTCACTGCCTGGGTCTGCTGGGTAGCAGGGCTGGTTCACGGTGGAAAAAGTTCACCTTCCACAGGCTCTAGATTGGAAGAGTGTGGTTTGTCTCACAGGTGGGAGCTGACACCTAGGTTTCTGCTCCCACTGAGGAAAGTCCCTCTACTCCTTGTCTGATATAACTATTCTTCCAATTCCAATGATTACCTCACAGCTCCCTTTGTCTTTTTATCTTTTCTCTAAATTTGGCCCCTTCAAAACCAACACTTCTTTTAATAATAAAAGCAAATGCTTCCATACTACTTTACATGTATAAGATACTATTCTAAATGCTCAACATATATTAAATGATTAAACTTTTATATCAAACCTATGAAGTGAGAACTATTATTATTGTCTTAGTTAGTTCCAGATGCTGTAACAGAACACCACAGAGTGGGTGGCTGAAAAGCAACAGAAGTTTACTTTTCACGGTTCTGGCCGATGGGAAGTCCAAAATCGAGGCTCAGGTAGATTTCACATTTGGTGAGAGCCTGCTCCCTAGTTCATAGACCCAACCAGTTTCCAAAGGCCCCAGCTCTGAATGTTATCACATTAGGAACTAGGTCTTACCATAAGATTTTTGGGGCACACCAACATTCAATCTCTAGCAATTTTCCTAATTTTTCGGAAGAGGAAAGAACAAGTTGCCCTAGATTTGAAATAGGAACAGAGCTACCAATCAAACCCAAGCCAGCCAGCTCTGGACTGTTTTAATCACCGTATTATGCTTCCACGCACAAATCTCAATTTAAAAAGGTACCCAGTAGGTGTGCCCTCCTCAGAGCACACCTGTGTCCTTCTTCTGGGAATGCACTTTTTAAAAAAATGCTGGGGGTCCCCATGAAACTTGTAACCAGGGAAACAGCAGGTATCAAAGCCCCTGAACCTGTTTGCAATGCTCCTTTTCTCAGACTTCTCAGTGAGACAAAGCAGCCCCACATGGGCTCTCGCCTGTTGCTTCTCCTATGCTAAGACCTTCCTTGTTTCACTGGACTCTCAAAAAAAAAAAAAAAGAGAGAGAGAGAAAAGAAAGAAAAGAAAAAAGTTACTCAGTAGGAACAAAGGACCCACACATCAAAATTTGATTTACAGAATACTTTTCTTGAATGTTCCTTCTTCACAAACTGCAAAATCCTGTAAGTTCTGCCCCTGCATCCACTTGTTATGCTTTCATGTACATGATTTTCGTTGGCCCAACAATCTTAGGAAACACACCTCCTCACACCATGTTTGGAAGTGAAGTTAAACCAGACTGAAAATTTGTCCTTCTGTGCTGCTGGTTTTTCCCATTTAACCAAACACTCTCTATCTCATAATTAAGATCTTTCTGTAAGAGTACCTCCAGAACATGAGATTTATGTAGGAATCTGTATCTCATCAAAATTTCTTCCCTTTAACATCAAGAATGAAATGAAACCTTTTCTGCCAGGTTAGCAATAACATTTAATGTAAATCCTTTATTGATTAAAATAAGTTGATTGCATTAATCCTTTATTTATCTTGTCTTTAGGTCATAAGTCACCACCAATCCTTTTTGTAAGAGGGGACTGCTTTTATTCCTTGAAGCTTTTAAAGATATAATAGTAGCAGAAAGTTATTTTTTAAAAATCAATCTACCATATAAAGTTTTAGGATCTAGTTATTGGTTGAAGGACCCTTGACCCTGGCCATTTAAAAATGTTTACTATTGTTTTCAGAGTCTGAGCTTTATTTCCAGAAACAATGAATTATTTAGATAGAATAAAAATTAACTGGCACTTAGCTTCTTATGGTTTTGACAAATTCTTTTATAGGTGCCCAAATCTCAGAACTTTATGAACCTGTGATTCTGAGCAAAGTATGTACTAAAATGTTTTTCACCATTTTTTCCAGTATTTTTCAAACAATTAATGTGACTGACACAGAGGTCAACACTTTCAGCAAAGAATTTTGTGAAAACTGTTGTCATTGCTTCAAAGTGAGAAGACAAGAAAGGTGGGTGCAGAAGAACCTCTGTGTTTTTCTTCAGTTGATCACTGGGGTGGTTTTTTTCATTGGCACAGACCTGGGTCAGCTCATTGGAAGGTGGTGGGATGTTTTCGGGTCCCCTTGGGTGGGTAAAACAGGGGCTTGTTTTGCCTTATCATGCACCAAACACTAAATACATGTTGAAAAATAAAGTGATTGACAACTCTTTCACCTGACAACCCCACACCTTTGCTAGTGTAAAATAACGCTTAAAAAAAAGATTAGCACACAAAAGTTGGGATATGCTAGAAGAAACAATCTCACAGCCACCTTTACATTCTGAACTCTGTTCTTAATGAGCAGGCCATTATTAAATATTGAGGAGAACAGATAATGATTTATCATAGAAAGCAAACTGTGGGTTTGAATCCCAGCACGACTATCTACAAGTTGTGTAATCTTGCCAAACTACCTAAAGTCTTGGTACGCCTTATCTAGAAAACAGAAATTACTGCACCCTTTCATATCGGGAGAGAATTGAATGGGAAAAGGATGTGAAAACAGCTGGCCCCGGGGGTTCCCAGTAACCTAGTTTGTCCCTTCTCTGGGTTGTCTACGGTGGTTGGTGCCCTGCAGTCTCCAGATGCTTGTTCATTCAAGGAAGGTACTAAGCAGAACTGTCACTTTCCCTTGTGTGGGCACTGGTCATTCATCACCTTTCTCGGTGCTTCGGCCTTTTTCGTTCTGCCTAGCAGCCAAAGTCTAGACTTTGTAGGATTAACTTTCAGCTCCGTTTGTACAGTTGTAGGTTTGGGGAGAAACACCAAGGAGTGCTCCACACTTGCCTTTCCCAGCCTCTTTAGAGGTGGGCACCAATACAGATTTCTTTAGTGCCCGGTATTAGGGACTCCAGGAGGGGAGGGTGCCAGACACTGCGACTGAGTAATTCCAGAGTTCACCCGCTCCTCCCGGGCTCCCGCGAAGCTGCAGGGCGCCCGAGCGGTCGGACGGGGGAGCGAGAGCTAAAGCTTGAGCAGCGCGCGGAGCCCAGGCGCCGGCCGCCTCGGCCGGGAAGCCGACGCCGGCCGAGCCCGCGGGGTCCGGGAGGAGGAGGCCGAGCGGGAGGCGGAGCGGGCGGTGGGGAGGCGGGGGCGGAGGCGGTGTCTCCCGGAGCTGCGCAGGCGTTGCTCGCACCTTGTTGATTAGTCAGTGCTGGGAGCGCTGCTATGGCGTTTCTCAGACCCCGGGCTCCTCCTCACACGCTCGAGGCGGAGGGAAGGAGGAGTAAGAGGAGGAGGAGGCGAGCCGGCCGCAGCTGCAGACCCGGGGCCAGAGGAGGAGGCGGAGCGGGAGCCGCCGCCGCCCGCCGCGGGGCTGCTGCGAGTCCTCTCGGGGCTTGAGGGCGCGCGGGGCGCGGCAGCCATGCCCCGCATCGGCAGCTGAGCCCGGCGCGGGCCCCCTCTTTCCCCGCCGCCTCAGCCGCCGCGTCCCCGGGCTGCCAGCGGCCGGAGTGCCCAGCGCCTTCGCGCGCCCCAGACCTCGAGCGCAAGCAGAGGCGGCTGCGAGGCGCGGGTGGTGCCGGCGGCATCGGCGGGAGCGCTGGGCAGGAGGAGGCGGGGAAGATGGACCCGGCGCCCTCGCTGGGCTGCAGCCTCAAGGATGTGAAGTGGAGCTCGGTGGCCGTTCCGCTCGACCTGCTGGTCAGCACTTACCGGCTGCCCCAGATCGCGAGGCTGGACAGCGGTGAGTCCCGGCCCGGCTCCCTGCGCGGGGCAGACGGGCGCGGACCGCAGTCTCGGCGCGGGTGCCGGGGAGGGGGGACCCGGTGGGCAGTGGGCTGCCTGCCCCCCAGCGCTGGAGTTGGCCCGAGCGGCTGCCGCAGCCCTGGCGCGGCACTCGCAACTCTCCCCAGCAGCAGTTTAGAGATGTGGAAATCAAAGCCCTTGCAGTATAATTAAAAAGGACGCTGGGGAAAAAAAAAAAAAAACCAACATAGGGGAAACCTCTGCAGATAGTAATCTCGGAGGCGAGCTGTCCCTCCCTCCCGCCTGCAACAATTACTCAACCTGGGAAACCCTGAAGAGTTATCTTAAGCAACTTTCTTACAAAATAATTGTGATTTAGGTGGCATCTGTAATTTGGATGCCTGCGCTCTTCCCCTCCCCCCCCCCCCACAAGAAGCCGCCGATTTAAGAGGAAAAGCTCCTGGGTGACCAATGAAAGGGATCACATTTCTCAGAGACCTTTTATTACAACTTGTCTGTTTTGCTTAACGGAATTGAAAGTAATTTAGGGCTGTGTGTAGAAAATGTTTTTTTTATCAGAAGTGATGCTATGTTTAAGATTAATTATTAGCGCATTTTCAGCCTGGACATAATTTAAGTCACCCAAATCTATATAGATGGAGCCTGAGCTCAGGACTAAGAAATGCTTGTAGGTATTTCTTGAAACTGACCACTAGAAACTAACCGAATATCCCCCCAGCTGTTGGTTCTGCAGTGTGACATCTGCAGACAAGTAGGTTTGCTGTCAAGCAAACAGACACCTTTCAGCCTGAGAGTAGTGACATGTCAGGTGGTGTTTTAGGTGTGTTTTGTCTTTTCTGTTTTCACAGTAACTTCCGTTGATTTTGGCTTCATACTATCGATGTTTCAGGCTACAGAAAGAAGCTTGTTCTGCTGTGGGGCTCCTGGGAGCATCTGGGCCCAGGCTGGCGGGCAGGCGGGCAGATAGAGAGCTGTGGTCACACAGGCCAAGTTAGAAGAGCACTCAGCAGAAAGGTGTCATTTCAAGTCACAAGGAACTGGGTTACTCTTTCTTTTCTCAAGTACAAGAGTGTGTAATATGAGATGTATAAATGACCAAAGGCATTTTTATTCTGTTCCTTATCTGTGGGGTCAGATTAGACCTTTGAAGTACTGATGTGAAAAGTAAATGGAGGCAAGTTCATGAACACCGGAGAACAATCTCAGCATGCTCGCTAGCCTTGTTTGGTTGGCAGTGGTAGTGGCGGGCATTAGGAGTAAACTAGGAGTTTTTAAAACTAGTAATGAAATATAGATCAATCCAGGAAGAGGCAGGTGGTGTTCTCAGGCATTTCTGCTTGGAGTGGGGGTGAGAAAGTGTTTGTTCTTTAAATATGTATCTGCAGATCTGAATCTGTGTGTGTCTGTGTATGTCCAGTGTTTCATTTCCTCTTTCACTGTGCAAAATTGTGTATATTGGAAGGCTGCGAGTCCTCCCCTTTTCCAGCCTTATCTCATCTCTGTACACTCCACCAAAACTTCTTAGCTGGGCAGAGAGCACTGGTGCAGGTGGTGTAAAAGTCACCGGAAGGCTTCATCAAACTGAAAGTTTAAAGAGGCTGAGTGTCAGCTGCAGACATGACTTTTAGCTTTATTATCCACTTTCCTATCCCCCCACCATTCATAAAAAGGATCTGAATCAGCAGTGTACTCATCCCACACTTCTTTTTAAAATGAGGACGTGGGTAGCAAGTCCTAACACTGTGTCTTTTCAAGCTGTGGAATGGATCTTGATTACTATGTGTAATTCCAATTCTTTATTGTAAATTTCTTATTGCCGCTTGGGACTCACAATGGCACACACAAATGTGGAATCACAGCCAAATACTGCATTATACCTGGCTTCTGTCACTTAACAATCCCATCTTACTTAAATATTTTTTGTTTTTAATAGCTGCACAATATCCAATGGAATGGCTATAACATATAATGTAGTCTCCTATGGTGATCATCAAGCTGGTTTATTTTTTACTGTTGTAAGTTGTGATACAATTAATGCTCTTGTACATAAACCTGTTAGTTTGGGTTAGGGTATAACTCATCTCATATTCCTGCCTTGCTGAATAAGCCTGTGAATCCTTTTTAAGTCCTTGGTACATACACATGGTCAAATTGATTTAGAGACTAAAGGTGATACTCATGCTAACATAAGAATTGTGTTAAAAACAAACAACAACAAAAAAACTTTGCTAGTTTGATGGGGGAAAGGATTAGCTTACCAATTAAATTTGGATAGACTTTAAAAGAGTTGATCAAAGATTCCATGCTTTATTTTTAAACTAAGGATTTCACAGCAATGCTTAGAACATGTTTAGGACACGTGGCCATATTTATAAATGCTATATGGGGCATCTCAAGTTTCGTGTGGTCCTCATCCTGTGTTTGCCCTTTTATTGGTTTTAGTACTGCAAATATGCGTACACTTCACACACACACACACACACACACACACACACACACACCCTGTACTTAGATGAGAAAGGTAGTCATTTTCCAAATCACTTGTTTTAAAAGAGACTAGAAAGAAATTGAAAGACATGCCACTAGTTGACATTTTGCCAAGAGCAAACTATTGGCTACCTTTAAGCAATCATTAAAGAGCAGTAAACATCTGATTTCATAATTGTTGACTATTGAATGCCTACTATGTGTAGGTACATTTCTAGGTGCTTGATGTGTGTTGTCTCAAATCCTCAGCAACCCCCTTTTAATGACTTTGAGAATGTGAGTTTCAGAGAAATCAAAATACCTAGTAAATTGTGGAGTGGGATTTCTAGCTGGCTTTTCCACTCCAAAGACTTTTATCTCAAACTACTACCTCCTCAGACCAAGTAGGAGTAGGTTTAGAGTAGGTCCAACATCTGCTGTAAATAGCCCCACTGTCTCTCTGAGAGCCTGAGGACCGGAAAGTCAATATTTTTAAAACAGTGTAGACACCGAATTAAGTGCAGGCCTCATCCATCATATGTAGACAACTTTCTACTTCCCAAAGGAATGGCTGAAAAGAGGTGAGGGGCAATGGGGAAGAAGAGAGTAAGAAATCAGAGAAAGAAGGAAAAAAGGGGAGTCTGAGGCCTTGCATATGTAGACGTGCTGAGATAATTCCACAATACATTTGCCATACTTAGAATATTAACTACATAATAAGTAAGAACTCTCCAGTCCTTTGCGTTATGCCTGTCACTCATGAAATGCCAGTCAAATAGATGCATTCAACATTACATGCTTCCCCAGTGGTGAAATTTGTCATTATATGATAAGATAAATACAAAATTAGTGAGTTTTTATGGGTATTCCTTCATGAATCTTTCTGGACAACTCAAAAGTACTCTAATGATTCTCCTAAGGAGATACATCTCACCAGCCAGGTCTAACCGCAGTCAGCAATGCAATTAAGATGAGATATTTTACTTCCAGCAAGATGGAGGCATAGGTGGACACACCGTACCTCCACGCACAACCAAGATTAAAACAACAACAATTTAGAGGCAGAATAACACCCAGAACTGATAGAGAATTTATCTGAATGGAAGTTGGACAGCCAAGAAGTTGAAGTAGACCCGTTCACCCAGACCAGTAGGAGGGGCGGTGAGGAACAGCCGGGCGCAGGTCACAGCGCGGAGAGCAGGGAGAACTGGGCGCATTAGGCAACCGGGAGGGAGCGCGTAAGGCATCTGGGGCATGCAAGATCGCAGCGGGTGGACCCTGAGTATGCAAGCGGCAGCTGGCGGACCCAGTGAGGCAGCGATTGTAGAGCAGGGCAGAGCGCGCAACCCAGGATCCCAGGGAAGAGACTGAGGTCCCAGGAGAACGGAACTACCGCCATTATTCCCTCCCACCCCGCCCCCACATACAACATCACAATCTAGCGACTGGGGTACCCAGCCCCAGTGAACACCTAAGGCTCTGCCCCTCACCATAACAGGAGCGATCTGACCAAAAAAAGAGAGAGAGAGAGACATGTCTCAAACAGAAGAACAGATCAATGCCCCAGGACTCATCCTTTTGAGCGACCAAGACTTGCCAATCTATCAGATGCACAGTTCAAAACACTAGTGATCAGGAAGCTCACAAAATTGGTTGATTTTGGGCACAAATTAGATGAAAAAATGCAGGTTACCATAAAAGACATGAAGGAAGATGCACAGAGAACCAATAGTGATGGGAAGGAAACTAGGACTCAAAACAATAGAGTGGACCAGAAGGAAGAAAAAAAACAACCAAACAGGAAAGAATGGAGAAATAAATGAGGAGAAGCTTAGGAACCTCCAGGACATCTTTAAATGTTCCAACATCCGAATTATAGGGGTACCAGCAGGGGAAGGGGAAAAGCAATAGATTGAACACGTATTTGAACAAATAGTAAAGGAGAACTTCCCCATTCTGGCAAAGGAAATAGACTTCTAAGAAATCCAGGAAGCTCAGAGAGCCCCAAAGAAGTTGGACCCAAGAAGAAACACACCAAGGCACATCATAATTACATTAGCCAAGGTAAAAACGAAGGAGAGAATCCTGGAAGCAGCAAGAGATAAGGAGACAGTATAAGGAGTTCCCATCAGACTGTCAGCTGATTTCTCCAAAGAGACCTTACAGGCAAGAAGGGGCTGGAAAGAAATATTCCAAGTCATGAAAGACAAGGACCTATATCCCAGATTACTCTATCCAGCAAAGCTTTCATTTAGAATGGAAGGGCAGCTAAAGTGCTTCTCAAATAAAGTCAAGTTAAAGGAGTTCATCATCACCAAGCCCTTATTTTATGAAATGTTAAAGGGACTTATCTAAGAAAATAAGATAAAGAAAAAACATGAATAGTAAAAGGACAGCAAACTCACAATTATTAACAACCACACCTAAAGCAAAAACAAAAGAAACTAAGCAAACAACTAGAACAGGAAGAGAACCACAGAAATGGAGATCACACAGAGGGTTAGCAACAGG